CGTTACAGTCAAATATATTTATACTCGGAAACCGTTTAAAATCGATTTCCCCGGAGACGGAGCCCTAGGTAAAGAAATTTCTATTATTCTCAATTTATTTTTACACGAAGATCGGCCCATGCTCAATTGCGCACGTTGTGTTATAAAACATTACCGTGTGATATAGTACAGCGTACTCGGCAAAATACGCGCAGCGTAATATTAGCAAATAGAGCTTAAATTATTAAACGAGACAACGTTGAGCAAAGATAAAAATCGCGGCAATATTTCAAGTCGATGTTTCATGAGGCTTGTACGATTTTTTTCTTTTATACGCTACCACACGCAACATATGCTACCGTAACGAAGACTAAGTGGAGGCAATTCTGGAAGCTTTGATGTTTAACGTAAACAGTATTATTAGGTTGCCATCGTCGTATCGGATCATCGTGACTATCAACTTTATAAGAATGAATATAACTTACAGTTAAAGTGTATGAAATGTATGAAAACTGGCTTTTCTGTTGCATCGTAGTTCTCTTTTCATCGCTATCAAACTTTTATTTATATCGTGCAGGCGGTCGTCTAATCGTCGCGAACGTTTGCAAGACCAAAAATTTCGAAATAACGCACAATTTACTCAGAAAAAGTTTCTTTTTTCTTTCGAATAGTATACGAACTTTCTTTGGTTACCGTACTGAATTGTAGTATTAGCTCGGCAACTAAGTGATAGCGGGTTTTGCGAATACCACCAAATGACTTAGTTGCCAACCCAATAAAATACGAGGAGAAAATTAATCGAATCGCGTAATAACGCTATGACAAGTTGCTCCGCTTGAAGAATCGCCTTATTTTACCACGAAAACATACTCGTAACAATTGCTCGGCAACTGGGCTTAAGGCCTAAAACTATTCGACGCCCACACACCGCGGAGAAGTCAATTCGACGAACGATTGCTACGTGAAACGAAGTTGGAATAGTTCGTTTCTCATGCGGAGGGATCGATTCTACCAAATCGCATGTTATCGAACCAGAGTTTAGGGGAGATATTCTCGTTTCGTTGGTCAGAAATCTGCGAAAGGTGGTTTTCATGTTCGTACGGCAAGCGTAATCGTGCAAACACGCGCGCGCCCGTGCATTACACGTAGCCGAGTTGATGACCGCTTTAGCGAGAAACGTTCGGAAACCCCTGAGATACTTTGCTGGGGGAATTGCGAGCGTGAAATGTACGGGTCAACCAGCTTGCACTCAGAATTTTCCGGATCGTCGATACGTTTTCATTTCTACAGAAATCGAAATTCTGAAAAGCAAAATATATTCTAAGCGCCGTCAAAGTTTTCTCTACAATAAAGGGATCAAAGGCATGCAGAATAACACGAAAAAGACAGCGAATGAAACATGCATATGTATTTACGTGTACGTGTACGAATGTAGGCGAAGTTACTGGCACGCGAAGAAACTGAATTGTTCGGAATCTTTGACCCGTGTATAGCCCTACGGCTAGAACCGAAAGAGAGTAATCGACACCAGGCCCTGCGAGATATGAAAAGAGTAATTATAAACATACGCCATACTCTTTTTCTGGTTACTAGTATTTTCTGGACGCGCGTTCCAGTTGCCATGTGAACGAGCTCGTGCTTTCAGAAGCGCAAGAGTCATCAGCCGTCCGGTTTTTAGATGAACTTAAACCTTTGGAGAATGTCCGACTTTGCGGCATATTTTAAAGTTGGATTTTCTCATTTTGCTTTGATCGGGTTGGACCTGTTTCGGTGGAATTAATCGTCGTAGTTTCCTTCGTCGAAGTTCTAGACTAAACAAAATAAATATCCTCGTTGCCTTTAGTTTTATCATTAAGAAATATTAAACATTTCTGCCTGAGCGTGTACGTAGTTTGAATGTACGACGTTTGTTTCGAAATTAGCTAGTTGCTAAGCAAATGATAAGATGCGTCAAATATAGTAATAATCATGTTGGAAATACCAACACGGACATATAGAAACAGAGAAGAAAATCTAGTAGTAGGATAATCTGTCACTGAAACCAAAAATCCTACTCTCAGGGAAATTCGACTCAAACTGAAACATCTGCTATTCACGCTGCAGTTCAACCATCAAAACGTACGAAACTGAGCGATCGAAAGTACAACAGCCGTAAAGACCGTGTCCCGTGACTAGCAACTGCAGAAACTCGCATTGTGCCGTAGAAAACAACGAAACTTTCTTATCTTCAGCCCTGCGTTTAACACGCCAACGTCCGAACGCTGGTAACAAAACAAAGACATCGCTAAACGAAATCCACGATAAATCTATTTGAAAAAATAATTACGGACAGAACGATTGAAAGGCATTCGTGCAAGCTAGCTGGAAACGACGCCAGCTCCCGATCGTTAATATCCCGTAATCTCAAGACGAACGAACCGTCATCCGCCGGCAGCCGTAGTCTTCTCGTCTCAGAGCCTCCGGAATTATGGATGCGTTCCACTTCCGGCAACGCGCGAAACACGGAAGTGCAATGCTAACCCCTTCCCGCTCGTTCCGCCCCTTTTCCACCCCTAAACGTCGCCCCTCCTGCCGCGTTCATTCTAGCGGCAGAATGTACGAGGCCAGCCGTCTCTCCACGTCGAAGTTGGCAACGGCATCTGGAGCGTTAAGGCGAATGAGCGATGTGCCGGTGTCTTGCGGTATGATGGATCGCCCAATACCAGCCAATATGCAGTATTGCGCGCGGAGTGTGGCAAACTGGTATCCATGCATCAAATCGGCGCTAGGCGGAAAGCGAGCGGTCTGCTCGCGTTTACAGGATACGCTGTAACGCGCCGGTGTGCCCACCAGCTTCTCGTGATCAGCTTCTTGTCACCCATCCCGTAACCATACCGCCGCCGCAACGCGGACTATACGCGACGACCATACGGCGCTTGATCCTGCTATACCGGACACGCATCCGCAATTTTCCGTTCGCCATTCGGAACCAGCGGATCGATATACGGACACGGAACCGCTCGAGAAATTGTCCGATACAGATGTCGTGTCAATCCGGCGACGGTATCGCAACGTCTTACGAGGCGATTACGCCACTCTGTGGTTACGGATTGTTACGGTTATGCTAGCTGAAAGCGTCGTTTCGTTTCTTCCTCTGTTGGTTTGCTCGCGGGCGAACGCAGGCCGTATATAGTTGAGGCGATTAATTAATCGAGAAATAGTTAGGTTTCCTTTTTGCGATTTTAAAATGCGCAGATATTCGCTAGGAATATAATACGTTTAGTACGATGCTTACTGCTAATTATTTCGTAAGCCATGGACTGCAAATGCCTAGACAAAGGACCCTCCGACAATTCAACACATATTCCTTCACCTAACCTCAACCTACAAGCTTTCATAAATAACTGAGGTACAATCTTCCTACGTAGCATTCTCATTAATCGCTGTCAGCGATAAAGTCCCTTCGCTCTTCTGGAGCATCAACGAATAAAACTTGCAAGTTTTACATCTGTCGGATTCGTTCTTAATGTCTTTACAGAGAGAACACGACGGAATTAGCTGGACAGACTGCATTTAATTAAAATGAAGGACGAACCGAATAAATTCAACATCGTACAACAAATTTAAGTAACGGAATTAGATGTCAACTTTTTTCGAAGATTACGAAATTCAAATCTCTAAAAAAATGTTAATGAAGCGTTCTATTTGCGATTGTTTTGCCAAAAGCTTGAAAAACGCTTTAATGCATTTAAACGCGGTGCATTTAAAACGCACAGGGATAACGATCCGGTTGCAGCGACTGCGAACGCGGAACTTCCTTAAAACGTCGCGTAAGAATGATCATCTTCGCGCGATCGCGCTTCATACCCGCTTGACTAGCGACGAAAAAGAAATTGCAACGAAACTTACAACGTGTAATTATTCCATTCGCGATAAGCCAACGGAACGAGCACGCTCACAGCGGTTTATTTTGAGTCAGCAGCTTTAATTGTGGACCAAGCGAAGTGTCTACTAATTGTAGGAATGGCGCACAGCGAATTCGTTTTAATAATACCGGCGCTGATTGCCATGCTGGTCGCGAGCCACTTGCGGAGATTTTAATCGACCTCGCGTTTCCGATCTTGCGATTACTTTTTTCTTCTTTTTTAATGGCTTTATTTCCACGAGAAAGTGCTAGCCTTTCGAAAATAGTCGCGATATTCGTCCGGAAGATAGCGTGGGACTAATTATCGCGGTGACAGAAATTATGTTGTTAAGGATAGGATAAGAAACACCGACGTATAATCTAACATCTCAACGTATAATCTCCTTGGCGAGGTGAGAACGCTCGAACTTGCTTTGGGCGATCAAAGGAAAGTTAACGTATTCACGTCAACTTCGATTACGATAATTATTCGTGTGCACGTACTCTGTATCTTGATACTCGTTAAAGAGCGAGAAACGAGTTTAATGTCGCGTGTAATTGTCTCAAATTATTCCGAAGGCTAGAAATATTGACAATCAAGGTATGGATTTTGTACCAAAGGAATCGAAATGAAAGATGTACGAACAAATTTAAAGTAAAACGTACACTGTACAAAAGAGAAGCATCGGAATCTTCAGAAATGCACCTTTGAAAATCCATAAAATTTCTATGAAAAAATACTATTTGATTATTTTCACTACTGTTGTAATTCTGAACGACGAAATCTCGCATTATCGTTATATTATCGAGAACGTCGGAACTATCGTTTAATTATATGGAATGTTCGCGCTATTAATTCCCACTGCTTTTGTTGCAAAAATGAGAGATCCACGAGCAGAATCAGAGAGAACGGAATTCCGTTATTTTTTAGAACTAATACGAAATCGACGATTGTAGAGACGAGTTCGATAACCTATGGCACGGTAGAGTTCAAGGTCGCCAAAGTACAAAAATCGAGCACATATTTTGGAATTTTTACAACGCTGTATTCGTTATGCTCGCGAAACGTTATTGATCTAATAACCATCGTGAACCACAAGGAGAAAGAAAAATTCACATAAAAAGCACTTTGACTCACCGGAACGTGAATGTCGTCAAAGGCCTGTAGCTCTTATGGCTGTTGATATCGTGCATAGGGGTCCCCCAGAAGTCGTCCTTCAAAATACTAGTCCACGGTGTTTGACCGAGCACGTCCTTGTTTCTCACCACAGCGGGTATATCGTCGTGCACGAAATCACCACCTAACGCGTTCAGGTAACAACCAACGGCAACCAAAGCGACTGTCGCGTAAATGCACCAACCGGGCGGTTCGTTTCCCTCCGAATCGTTGCACCCGGTACGACCGGCCCTCTTGCTGTTCTGGCAACAGCAACCGTTGTTTCGTCGTCTCATGATTCACAAAACGCGAACTACACTGGTGCGCGAAACAGGCTAAACGTTCTGCCGCGATCGTCGGGAATAATCACTCTCATGGAGCCAAGTTAGCTCTCATACGCCGCTATCTACCGAGTTGATAAATCCTCGTGGAACGAATCCACCGTTCACCGTCACACGACTCGATCGCTGATCGCATCTCAAACACCTCGAAGACAACGACCACGACATCGACCGGATATTTTCTCGTTTCTTTTTCTCTTTTTCTTCTCTTTTATCGCGTAGAATCGGGGAGACACGAAAGTCGAAAACAGGGCTTTTTGTCACGACCTGTTCCTCGTGATTGTTCGTAATTAAAGCAGTAAACGTTCCATTTTAGCGAACGCCACGCGATCACGGAACGATCGATCGAGACCGACAGATAGAGCAGGCAACAGGGGTTCGAAGGTTCTATCTTTTCTGTTTTTCTAACGAAATCCAGCAGGAAGCGGTGGCGCGCGCGATACTACCTGTCCGTGGCTCGCGTTCCACTCTTCCATTTACTTCGACTAGACTACTTTGAGCATTGGTGGGCCTCGTAGCGAGCTTGATAAATGACTGCGGAGGTTCATTATTTACCGAGCCGGCACGTCCGATGTGTCCGCTCTAAAGAGAAACGGGTTTCGCGCAAACTGATTGCTCTTCCACAGATAATAGTTCTCGCATGGTGCTCGTTCGGTCGAGATTGTCCCCGCGGGAAGGTAGTCGGTCGCGTTCTTCCCCGTGTCACCCCCTCCCCACTTGTACAGCTGTAACGATGTAACAGCTCGTTACGGTTACGGGGATCGAGTTGTCCGACGACGCGTTGCAGGACCTACGCGAACGATTCGACCGATCGGTTCCGGCGACCGGACGAAACAACCGGCCGATACGGATTTCGTTCGAACCACCGTGATCACCGCGATACACTACCCTTTGCACGAACAAAGAGATCGAAACGAGCTTGCGTGCATCGGTTCCGTGGATCTCGTCCGTCGAGAAACCGTGTACAACTCGTGGCAACGAAGCGTTCTCCCCAAGTGTTTCAACCTGACCGTTTCTGCGCTAATTCTCTCACGAATATCGACGTCCAAGATCCTTCTTTACGATGCTTCGTGCATGCTGCCTGTTTCCCGTTTCCACGAGCATTCGATACTCGTTGCACCTCTTCGTACAGAGGCGCTGACGAAGCGAAAAATACTAACGGTCGACTCACTCGTTAACTTAGCGATTTGGCTGTTTGACCCGAATCGCGATGTAACACCACGGGAGGATATCGACGCACCGTGTCGACGAGACGGAGAACAACGCGCGCTCCTCCTTCTCTCGTTTCTTCCTTTTTAATTCCACGCGCATTCGTTCTCGCGATCAGTCCACGATCCTATCTTCTTTTCGTTTGGACGAACGAATCTTCTAAAATTATGGAGAACCAGCGGCGACACCGATAACACGCGGGTACACACCCGCGCGCGAGAGAGAGGACGGCTGTATGACCCAGATACACGCCATCGTGTCCGGGCTACTTCTATCGCCGCGACTTTCCTATGCATATAGATCTATACAAGCGGTGGTATCTGGCCGGAGGCGCGCACAACCCTCGAATTCCCTGCAGTGACGCCCCTTTTTCTTCTCCTTTGCTTCCTTTCTTCTCTTCGGTTTCACCCTTCCAGCCTTTCGATTCTTCTTCCTCTCGCACCCTTCAATTTCCAAGCTCCTTCCTCCCGCGACATTTCACCCGAAGATCGACGAATCTTTGGCTGCAGCCCCGTTGCAACGTGATCCAGTTTTCAGCCTCCTCTACCCTCGATGGAACAGTACTAGAGATCCGCGTTTCTTCTCGTCGAGAAACCGGTTTGACAAGCGTTACAACCGTTTAGCTCGTCCTACCTCTCCACGACACTTTCGTCTCGTGTCACGACTCCCGACAGACTTCTGTTTACACGCCTCGGAGACGACCGCGTTACACGGTTACAACAGGTTGACGCACCGTTTAGAAATGTACAAGCGTCGCTCGAAAGATTTGTATAATCTTCGTGGAACCAAACACGTATAACTAGTGGTAGCAGATCGTTATGTCGGTGCTCTGGTAAAGGAAATTCGTTCCGATAGGATCAAGATCGATACGAACGGACGAAACCTTAGCCCTCACGAGCGGAACCACCGAACAGGAAATGCACTCCGCGCCATCAGCGAAACAACCTCTCGGAACGAAGCGATCACGAGCGCGCGACTACCGCGTCGTTATCAAATTCGAGCGG